ACTCCGGAATATGTGCTGTACACCCTATTTTTGCTGCCAACAGGTATGTTCAAGTGTGGTGTGTGTGTTTTCGTCGCATGTATGTCGGGCGCGAGCCTGTGCCGTTCGTTACACGGTTGACTCACCAGTCTACGTCACACAAACATTCAGCAGGAATACATTGTCCTGCTGTACAGCAGTACTTTACAGCAGTACTTCACAGCAGTACTTTACAGCAGATGAGCAGGCTTGCATGTGCGATGTCTCTCTGTGCAATGTCCAAGTGAAAACTGACCTTATTCATAAACGATGTTGCAATATTTTCTCTTCTCTGGACCTCTCTATGCTGGCAGGTTGCGCGCACTTTCAAGATCGGCCACGACAAGGTCAGACGCATCAACAACCACTGGTGGGATCGCCGCCAGTTGTACGAGACCACCGCCGTGGGAAGAGGCAAGACGGCAAAGAAGGATGATCGGCGACGCCGCCTCACCAAAGCACAAGAAGATCAACTTCGCGACTTCATCAACGACGAGCACAAGGCCGGTCAAGTTTTTCGCCGCACGGTGGTAGAATGGATGCACAGGACTTGCAACATGGAGCAGCCGTCCAACCGTTCGGTAGGAGGGCTGCTGAGTAGGCTCGGCTTCAAGCGTCGTAGAGGCAGGATCAAAACGCCACCGTTAAACGCCGAAAGACTTGCTCGCATTCGTCGGTTTCTTGTTGAAATGGACATGGCAAAGAGGGCAGAGGATGCTGGGTTAGCAGTGATCGTGTAGACTACACAGATGAGAGTTTTGTCCACCAGGCTCATGGTTCCCCCTATTCATACTTCCTTCGGACGAGGATGGAGTTGTGCAGGATGGGATTGGTCGCACAACGGGGAAGGGCTTGCGCATGATCATGGTGCATGCAATCACGAAGTGGGGGCCGTTGGCTAAGCTTTGTGATGGGTTTCCGATCGAAAGGGCTGTTTCAAGGAAACGGGTAGCGAGAAGGAAATGGAAGATGAGGAGACAGTATAGAGTTTCTGTGGCAGGCTAAGTTGGCAAAGGGCGATTACCACTCAGCAATGACCGACTCGATGTTCATGGAGTGGCTTGAACACCGCCTTAACCCTGCGTACAACGCGATCCCTGAGTTCAAAGGCAAAAGGATGATTCTTGTTCTTGACAACGCCTCATACCACCATGGATTTGACGCGGA